GGCTTCTTCAAGAGGCATCCTGCGCTGTCGGAATGCAGCGCCCGCATCTATGAGGCCAACAGAATCATGAGTGATGACGAGACTCGCCTGCAGACGTTCTACAAGGACTTTGGTGAGTTCGTTGACAAGGAAAAGATCCCTGCCGATCACCTGTGGAACACAGATGAGACAGGTGAGGTCCATATAGAAAGGTGTTGCTGATGGATCTAGGCAGTAGGCAAGGGCTACAACAGTGCTGTAGTGCGCGGTGCAGCTGCGCGGCAACTTGCTAGCAGCAGGCGGAGTTGTGCCGATATTTTTTTTCAGTGTGGATCGTTGGATCCGCCCTCTGCAACCCACACACCCCTGCAAGATCTATTCCACTACCGCTGTAGACTAGACTAAAACGCACGGTTGACATACACTACAGTACCACATGCCCCCTCCCCTTTCCCCGGCGCTCACTATGTTACCGTACGCTCGAAGTCACTCGAGCTATAGGAAGAGGGACGGCGGCATGTGGTGTGTGTTGGGGATGAAAGAAACCTAGACGGGTTTGGCTCTGTGTCGCACTCTAGCGCAAGCGTGCGTGTTTCGTATGCGACTGCCCCTCTCTTCTGATGTGATTATTCTCTATCGCCGACACATGTAGCCGTAGTCTAGTCTCTTCGCCCTTTGCCGATACCCCCTGGCTTACAATGCTGTCGTCCGCCTCCTCTGTAGAAATAGTACACAGACCTAGAGAGAGCGGTACCAGGTGCGCCCCGACCACCCTTCCCTACTCTCATCGCCACCTCGGCTGCGTACCTTTCCTGGTCCAACATCTCTGTTTTGCAGGTAGCACTCCACAAGGCACCAAGACAATGAAGGTGATTGCGGAGAGCGGACAGAAAGTGGTTGGAGCGATACATTCAAAGTCGAGAGAAAACGTGACGGTGGTGGTCACCATCAGCACGGTGGGTGCCACCCTCGCCCCGTGGATCATCTACAAAGGGCAGCGTCTGCAAGCGGACTGGGCCAAAGGCAGAAACGCCCCCCCGAACGCGAGACTGGCAGTCACCAATTCCTCGTTCATGCAGGGGATCGTATTCGTCAACTACATTCGCGACTTTCACCGGCAGCTTCTCGACCGCGGCTTGATCAACGGCACGCCACACGTGCTCGTGCTTGATGGCCACGCCTCGCATGTTACCTACGAAGTTGTCAAATTGGCCAGGGACCTAAACATCGTCCTTTACCAGATACCGTCCCACTCGTCTCATGTTGTCCAGCCCTTGGACGTCGGGTCGTTCGGGTCATTCAAGCGGGAAATCCCCAAGGTTCTCTCGGCCTTCCAGGCACGAAACGGCGGAAGGGTGCCCGCGAAGAGCGACATGTTGGGCCTTCTTGGGGATGCTTGGTTGCGGAGCTTTTCCGAGGAACAGAACATATCATCCTTTGCAGGGGCAGGCCTTTGGCTGGTGGACGGGGAGCGGGCGATGGGTCAACTTCAAGGTGTAGGGAAGAGGCAGGAACGATAAGGTGCCCGCCCGCCCGTCGAGGACATCACAGTGGCGATTTCCGACAAGGATCTTGCCGACNGTGCCCGCGAAGAGCGACATGTTGGGCATTCTTGGGGATGCTTGGTTGCGGAGCTTTTCCGAGGAACAGAACATATCATCCTTTGCAGGGGCAGGCCTTTGGCCGGTGGACGGGGAGCGGGCGATGGGTCGACTTCAAGGTGTAGGGAAGAGGAAGGAACGATCAGGTGCCCGCCCGCCCGTCGAGGACATCACAGTGGCGATTTCCGACAAGGATCTTGCCGACAACCTCGGCCCACGAACGGTTCGCGAGCTGCAACAAAAGGGTCAGTGCGTCAAGGGCATCCTTATCAACACGGTCATGGTCGGAGCCTTCGTCAAGGCGAAAAAGAAGCAGAAGAAGCTCGCCATCACCCGCAAGTCGCAAGGTCTCCCGGAAGGAGGGGTTATCACGTGCGATGACGTCATGCAAAAATACCTCGCGGACGAACGCCAGAAGGTGGAGGCCGAGGAAGCTCTGAAAGAAAAAAGATTGGCACGGGAGATCAAGAGGGCAGCGAGGGAGGATGCGAGCTTGGAACAGGGGGCAAACCGCGCGGGGCGTGGGCATGGGCGGGGAGGAGGGCGAGGCGACACAAGGGGTGAAGGCTCTAGTGGGCGGGGACAGGGACCGGACGGAGGCAGAGGGAGCGGGGGCTTGAAGGAGGGCAGGGGGGGCGCGGGCGGGGGGGGGGGG